CTGGGGGAGGCCGCTGATGCTCATGATGCTCCCTTTCCTGGGTCCCAAGAGGCTTCTCTGGAGGTTTTTCGAAAGCAAAACGCGTGTTTAGGATGTTTTTAGGGCTCCCACACCAACCCAGCTACAAACCATTCTTTGAAAGAGCATCCAAGATGCGGCTTGCGGCTTTGAGTTTGAGTGCGAACGGGTCATTCCCCTCACGTGGCCGGCTCAGGGTTTTCACATGCCCGTTCCTTGCCTCCACCCTCTGCGAATGCTCGTAGAGGCACTGGGCCGAGGCCCATTTCGAGAGTGAGCATTGCTTCCAGGACTCTTAGAAGACTACGTAAGTTACCACCTGAGGAGCCTCGCACAAAGCAAGAGAGGCAATCACCCCACGGATCTATGGGAGTTGCCTTTTCTCACCGGGCAGAAGATCGAAGAGGACCACGATGGTGGCCGGGAAGAGTGGCCGACGAACTCGCAAACAAACAACAAAAAACCTAAGCTTTCCTTATATTGTCTTCAATTCGAACCCCGACCGGGGCTCCGGGCCCAGCTGGTTGCTTCGCAAATTCAGCTCCAGCTGCTGGAGCTGCGGCAGCCGGCCCAGGGCTTCCGCCAAAGAGGCCGCGCCCTCGCTGCCTCAGGGTGGAGCTGCTGGAGCTGAGGTCACGTGCCGGAAAAGGGGGCATCAGGTCAGGGCTACATAGCTAAGCTGGTTTCTTCCAGTTTAGAAACAAGGTTTTTTCCGCGTTCATCATTTAATTTGGTCCCTGGGGTGTTGGGTCTTCACAAACGGTTCATAGCTGAAGCGGTCTCTTCCGATTTAGAAACCAGCTGTCTGTAGAAACGCGCGCGGCCTTGCGGGGCGCGGTTTCGGGCCAAGTTTCTGGTAGTCACAGGGGTTCAAGGCCTGGGAGTCACCCAGAGGGTCAGTCATGATTCAGTCTTCAGGTTTCTCGGGGTCGTACACACAAACAGCTGGGCTGCCACTCGCAGCAAACCTCACACTTTTAGATGCGGGGTTTGCTTTACCTCGCCCCCAAAGCCGGCAGACATGGACACGTAATGGTCAAGGAGGAGAGTGAATCATGTACCTCTCTTTATGTACCTCTTTCTGGCATCGACGAGGTTGCCATTCAACATCTTAGAAGGGCCATCGCAGCGGACTGTTGGAGGGGGGAGGCGGGGGTACATACTTAGCAGATACTTAGACCCTGAACCCTAAACCCTAAACCCTTTACCCTTCACCCTAAACACTTTACCCTTCACCCTAAGCCCTAAACCCTGTACCCCTCACCCTAAACCCTTCACCCTAAACCTAAACCCTTTACCCTTCACCCTAAACCCTAAACATCTCAGAAGAGCCATTGCAGTGGACTGTGGGAGAGGGGGGGGGGTAACCCTAAACCCTTGACCCTTCACCTGTGGGACCTGCTTCCTGCTTCGAAGATTTGTTTAGGGCCTGTGCTCCATGGCCAGAAGACTTCAGACCCAAAAGGCCCCGGGAGGTCTCACGCGAAATAGACGAGCAGAATTTCTATTTCGGAGTAGTCTATTTCCTCTCGGGATTTTGGCCTCAAGAGCTTGAAAGGCACCAACAGGCCCCCCAAAGGCCCCAAAAGCCCCTGAGACACCCTAAAGTTAAAACGCTCCAAAAAGCTCTGGGAGGTCTCACGGGATTTGTCGGCACCTCTTCTTTCTCAAGGTCTGCAGAAACCCACAACATCACTGCAAACCATTCTTTGGAAGAGCATCCAAGTTGCGGCTTGCGGCTTTGAGTTTGAGTGCGAACGGGTCATTCCCCTCACGTGGCCGGCTCAGGGTTTTCACATGCCCTCTTCCTTGCCTCCACCCTGCGAATGCTCGTAGAGGCATTGGGCCGAGGCCCATTTCGTGAGTGAGCATTGCTTCCAGGACTCTTGGAAGACTAGGTTACTTCTGAGGAGCCTCGGAAAAAGCAAGAGAGGCAATCACCCCACGGATCTGTGGGAGTTGCCTTTTCTCACCGGCAAAGATCGAAGAGGACCACGATGGTGGCCGGGAAGAGTGGCCGACGAACTCGCAAACAAACAACAAAAGAGTCTTAAAGGGGGGTTCTTTTTTGGCACAGTACAAGCACCAGCATATCAGAGGTGGGAGCCAAGCACAAACCTCAGTGATTCGGCATGCACCAGGCCCCCCTGGAATCATTCTTGGCTGTCGAATGAATGGCCTCTCTGCTGACAGATTTGTGTGTTTGCAGTTTGCCGTGCCTACGACTAGGTCGGCTTTTGGGATTGGACCTCACTTTTTGACTTTGTCGGACAACAAAAAACCAAAGTTTTCCTGAACTTGTCTTCAATTCGAACCCCGACCGGGGCTCCGGGCCCAGCTGGTTGTTGCTGAAACCCAGCATCAGCTGCTGGAGCTGCGGCAGCCGGCCCAAGGCTTCCGCCAAAGAGGCCCCGCCCTCGCTGCCTCAGGGTGGAGCTGCTGGAGCTGAAGTTGACGTGCCGCAAAAAGGGGGCATCAGGTCAGGGCTATAATGTTGTGCGCGAGTGTTCGGCGTTAAGCACAAACCTAAGGCTCAGCCTCAAAAGATCTGACAACGCTCCAACAAAATTGTGCTGAAGTGGAATCACCCGTAATGTTGTCCTCATCTGTATAAACAAAACCCCAAGCCCGGAACTCAATTATAAGCCCCTGCCTTACTTAAGAAACCCTGGCTCCAGGGCCTGTAGCCTTAAGCCAGCAGACTGTAGGGGCTGAAGGCCGTAAGCCCAAGACTGCCCGGCCTGGAGCCTTAAAGGCAGCCCGATCCCCCCTAAATAGGGGGAGAAAGAATCGATTAAGACGGGGAGGGGGGGTCTATTTTTCTTAAGGTTTCTAGGGGGTGCAAAGAGTTTCGTATGAACAAGCAGTAACAGAAACCCACTGCTTTTTTGGGTTTTTTGGGGGCGCCTGGGCTCCCATGCATGGGGGTAGGAGGCTGCGGCAGCACGCAGCGAACAACAAGCACACCTTCTGAATACTGCCGCTCGCCCGTTGCCCGCACCGAAACTTCCAAAACTTTGCGATTTCATCGCCGTGGCCCACGGCAAGCCCTCCCTAAGGAATTCGTTTAAAACAATTGCAGGCCCTGACCTCAACGCATTCCCCCCACCCCGGCGAAACCTACGTGAAGCCTATACTCGCTGGCCAGTACAGGGCGCGACTATAATATGCGACTCCCTGTAGCCCTGGCCCACGGATACTCCTGAAACATGCCCGGGGCTCAGAAACTACGACCCCCGTCCACCAGATACAGGGTTCCAAGTTCAAAATGTTCAAGTCCCACCTGAAGAGTGCAAGCTCCGATCGGCACTGCTGCTTTACACTGACGGAGTCCCCGAAACCGGCTTTGTCTGAAAAGGTGGTGGACAAGTGGCCTTGACATGTTCCAAGACATCACCCGCGCAAGCCACCCACATCTATACATGCTGTTTGCGCGCGAATGCTCACAAAGGCACCGGCCCCGGGCTCAAGGTTTCGAGCACAAAAGTTGAAGGCTTCCAGGAGGCTTCGGGTCAGCACAAGAGAGCCCACGAGGGTTCGGTCTTGAGGATAGTTCAGAACTCTAAGACTGAAATAAAACCTCGATTTTTCGGCACCTGCGCTTTCTATATCGAGGTTAAAGGCAACGGCAGCACGCAGCACAACAAACAAGCTTCCGAGACTGGAACGTGCCCTTTGCCCAAACCCAACCATCGAAATTGGCGATTTCATCGCACACGACAAGTCCCGAATCTTTAAAACATATTGCTGGCCCTGGCATCAACGCAACGCATTCCTCCCAGGTCCCACCCTGGCGTACAAGATGAATTGGCATGGTGGCCGACACTTAAAAACTTCAGGGAAGCTGTCATGGGTTCACGGCTCAAGTTGTTTCACCTCTAGACTTGCAGCACAGGGCGTGTACCTGCTTTAAAGTTCTTAAGTGGAGGAGCCCGAACAAGCAGCCTTTGTTTGAGAAGCTGGAAGACAAGTGATGGCCCTTGAATGGGAGGTGTTTCTAGCAAGCACCTGGACCTGAAGACGACCTAGGTCTGAACCAGAACAGGTGCAAACATGGCGTAACACAGCTGCACAGCTGTGAGGGCAAGGTGGGGAGACAAAATCCGGCCCCAAACTCCATGAAAGCAAGCACTGCTTTTCGGTTCGAGATGTGGGGTTTGCTCTCTCCCCCAAAACCGACCCAAAACTCCACTGGGTCGAAGTTTCAAATTTCAGGCGGCATGCCTTGAAAAGCAGATGCCAGGCCCCCAAGGCCCCCAGTGTAAGGGGGCGCTTGGGAGGCGGGGTCGTTTTGTTGGCATAGTACGCGTATAAGGATAAGGTGAGGTGGAGCGTGCGCCGCGTCCCACAAGCAAACATCATCGGTTCGGCCTGGGTTATGCGAGACCCAGGCAGTGATTGCATGACACCCGCCCCCCCCCCCCCCCATGGAATTTGGTTGCTGGTTGTCGTTTGCAGTTGCAGAGTGTCTACGGCTAGTGGATTGGACTGCACCTTTTTGCTGTTGTCGGCACCCCTTGTTTCTCTGACACCGCTATTTTCTACTGACCGCTGTCGAGACTTGTTTACTGCGCTACAGTACAAACAAAGATGTGGCAAGGAAAACAGTGGCTTTGTCTTCCGCTCCGGCACCTGCAAGCCCACGGAGACGATCAGTAAGCTACTCCCAAAACCTCCCAAAACATGAGTGCGAACGGGTCATTCCCCTCACGTACGGGGCCGGCCCAGGTTTTTCAAAGGCCATTTTTGCCATCATCCCTCCGCGAATGCTAGAGGAACCGGTGCAAGGCTCCAGGTCTCGAGAGGTGTTGAGTGCTTGCTGGACTGTTTTAAAAATCTTACCACTTGGGAAACCTCGCAAGAGCAAGAGAGCCAAACCGTCACGGGTCACCCAAAGCTCGAAGGGAACACGAGTTGCCGCAAGAGCAGCCAACGAACTCGCGAGCAAACAAAGAAAGCCCAAGCTGTCCCCTTACTGTGTCTTACATTCCGAACCCCGACCGGGGCTCCGGGCCCAGCTGGTTGTTTCTCAAATCCAGCTGCAGCTCCTGGAGCTGCGGCAGCCGGCCCAGGGCTTCCGCCAAAGAGGCCGCGCCCTCGGAGCCTCGGGGGGTGGAGCTGCTGGAGCTGAGGTCACGTGCCGAAAAAAATGGGCTTCAGGTCATGGCTATCTCGAAAGTTTCAATGCGAGCGCTCGGCGTTGAGGATTGTTGCCGTTAAGTTCCCCACGAGTTTCCAGATCGTCTTTAAGGCAGACAAAAAGGACCAGGCTGAGGCAAGCTCACCCGGCTCAGTGGCTTTGCTTTTCGGGCAAGCTTGCGCCAATCCCCCACACAGTCTTGCGACATGCTCGTCACGGCCATCTGCTACGACGAAGCTCGCAACATCTTCGCAGCCCATGCCCCTGAGCCCCGGGCGGATCCCAACTTCGTCGAGGTCGACGTACAGCTTCCTGAGGTTCGGGAGCTGCGGCAAGGCCGACGCCAGCACCCCGACATCCTCACCTCACATCGCGCATGCAGCAGCCGCAATCAATCGAAGCGGGGCCTCGGCTCTGCACAGGGCCTCAGAGTCGCAAGTGCCGGGGCCGACGCCGAGCCCGGTACTCATCAGGTTCAGAATCAAGCACAGCGCCCCGAGCGCCTCGGCTGCGCGCGCTTGCTCTTCTCGGCCCCCAACCTCTCCCCGGCCGGACCCGGCACCGACCCCTCAACCTCCTGACCGACGGGAGCCTGAGAATCAAGGCAGCGCGTGAGCCATGCAAACCTGCGCACGAAGTCAGCTAAGGGCACCTTGAGCTCGGGCAGGGCCGCGGCCGCGTCCTCCACGGTGCGGAAACCTCCGAAGACACAAAAAACTGAACCGGCCCACAGCGCATGCATCCACACCCATCCGCACCCCGCAGGATGCCCTTTATTCTAGGTGTACTGTCACTATTCACTATAAGTCTGCTTCGGGCTTCGTGTTGTGCACTTCTGATGCGTCTGTCGTGGTACACGAAATGGAGAATCTCAAAAGTGCTGAGTGCGGGTGAGAGGCTCCGCTCGTCCCTGGCCAGCGGGTTGAACTTCAGGCCCGAGATCTCCATCTGGCATTCCCGCGCGTCCCAGACCGTGGAGTCTGCCTGGTTTGTGCTGGCCTCGTAGGGCCGCTTGGCCTCTCTATGCCGCTGCGGCCTCTCAGAGCTGCCCTCCTTGACGGCTTCCTCGCTCTTCCGGTCTTCGGCTCCGGCAGTGGCTCCGACAAACTTGTCCACCCGTGTCCTTTGCGCCGCTAGCGTGTTCTTGGGGCTGGTCTCCTGTTGGGGCAGTGCTCCGGTACTTTTGAACTTCACCTTTCCCAAAAACTCCAACCACCCGCCGGGCACGTGCTCGTTCACGACCACAGCCAGGAGCTGGGCCCTCGTCAGGCCCCGGTAGAGCCGCGCCCTCGTCTCCAGATCTTGCTGGCTGCCTTCGATCGCCGCATCCAGCGCCACGGCGATCACCACCAGCATTTCGAGCCCGTCCACCTTGTCGATGGAGTCGATGACAACGCACTCCGTGCTCTCCTGCCTCCGGAGCTGATGGCCGTGGAGCCGTGGCGGCAGCCGGCTGAGGGAGTCCTGGAAAGACACAAGCTGCACCCGGCGGTGAAGCAACTCGCTCTGAAGGCGTTTCTGGAGGGACGTCTCAAGGTTTTTTGCGAACTTGTCGTCGGGCCCAAGGATGGCCACCCGGCGGTGCCAGCTGACTCCCGGGAAGCTTTGCTCCACGTGGCGCAGGGCCTTGACCACGTGCAGCGCGTAGGACGCGAAGAGATCCATGCCGGATTCGGGGGGCGAAGTTGTCCTGCAGCCTTCCCTGTTAGAGCCGTCGCATGCATCCTGAAGCTCATCAAGTGCTGGCCTGAAGATGAAGGCCTTCAGCGGCGGCCCGTCTGCCCCAATGGACGCGGTCACCTCACCACGGTCGAGGGGGAGCTGGAAGGCTGCAGCCCCCGCCACGATCCTCTTGGTGCTCCGCACCACCTCCGTGAGCCGGACTCGCTTCAGGTCCGTCGGAAAGGCCTGGTCCACCTCGGACGACTGGGAGTCGTCGGACAGCAGCAGCTTCGCCTTGCACCGGGGGAGCTCCTGCTCCAAAAAAGGGGGCACCTCGCGCGCACGGAAGATCTTGTGGGCTTCATCGAGCACCAACAGGTCCAAGGGCTCTGCCGCCTCATTCTGCAGCGGCGGGCAGCGGATGTGACCATCTTCCAGTCTGGCTGAAATCTTCGCGCTGTAGGGTGCGTGCATGAGCACCAGCCCGGAAAGCATCTTGTTGATCTCCGCCAGGAAGTCCGGGGCTGCCTGCGGCCCACACCGCGTGCTTGCTTTTGCTTCGAGTTGAGCCAGACGTCGCATTGCCAACCACTGAACGAAGTGGTACCCGAGCTCCTTGGAGGTGATGCGTACAGGACCCGGGTTGACGGGCTTTCGCTCAGCACGTCCAGCACCCGCTGGATGCCAACGAAGGTCTTCCCAGCCCCAGCCGGGGCGCACAAGTGGACGTCCGGCGCGCCCTCAAGCTCCTTGAGCTTCTCCTCTTGGTGTGCTGTCATCTCTGATGCCTGCAAAAGGCTGGCTTCGTACATCTCCAGAAACCTGGCCTTGTCCACTTGCAGCTGCCACTCCGGGAACTTCTTCTGCAAGCCAAAGGGCCCAAAGTTCAGCTGCTTCTCCACCTCGCCACTGAGCACCGCGTCCCGCAGCGTGTGCAGGGCCGTCACATGCGCGATGGCGACCTGGACGCCCAGCGCGGGGGCGCCCGTGAGCAACCTGCTGGGCTGGCACGACTGCACCTCCACGCCTGGCAAGGCTTTCTCCAAGGCCTCCTTGAGGGGCTCCAGGCCTCAGGGCCAGGCGAAAAGAATGGATAAAGCACCAAACCGGTTTCGTGAACTTGCTTTCGGGGACCCTGCGACTCCCTTTTTGCCAGACCCCCGTGAGAAATAAAGGAACAGTATCTGGTATACATTTGTGTGGACATTCAGGGCTGTTGCAGACAGGCTGGTCTCACATGCAGGGTCTTCTGCATTTTGGATAGATGGCAACTTCCAGCGCACTTGGACTTGGCCAGGACTTGGCCTCACATGGAAAAAGCTGCGGCCACAGAAGCCTCTCTGAGGCCCCAGCCCACTGTGTCAAGCAGCGTCTCCATCTCGTTCTCGGGACGTCGTAGCATGTGGGTCTGAAAGGTGGTCTTCGGGTCGTTGTAGGAGACTTCCCACCGGTTGGCGCCGGCTTGCTTCACAAGTTTGCACCTCCGCCACGTGTCGCCATGAAGCGCATCGACCATGCGGCCGACAGGGAACTCGTCCCGAAGGAACTCCGCGACGTCCACGGCGTCGTACTTCCAGCCATTGGAGTCGGCTGTGACGAGTTCGCACTTTTGTGAACCTCCCAATCCGATGTTATCCCAAAGCTTGGTCTCGGGCTTGCACAGGTTCTCCATGCTTACCTGGGGTTGGGCAGACACGTGTTATGAGCTATGCGGTTACGTCCCGAAAGCTTTAGAGTGAGCTCTTACAGCACGCCACGAGTTGGAGGAAGACGGCGAAGTCTTTTGTAAGACGGTGCCCCCCACCTTGCCCAGGTTGGCTTGGCCTTCGAAGAAGACGGCTTTGAGGCGCTGGCCCTTCTCGACCGCTTGCTTCACCTATATGCATTGAAGTAATTTTCACGGAAAGAGTATACCTGTACCTTGTGCTGCTCCTCGCATTATTATAGGAAAACAAGGACGCCAGAGTATGCGGCTCAACTAAGCAAAAGCCCAGCCACCTTGGACAGCCAGGCCTTGTACCAGGCGCACCCCCAAGAGGCCCGCCGGCCGTTTTGATTCCATGCTTCCTCGGCTCGTGCCTCGGCCTCTGCACGCTCTTCCGGCGTGGCGTCCTTGTGCACCAGCACGGCGTTCGTGGCCCGGGCGTGCTTCTCCTTCTGCTCCCGGGTTTCGTCTGTGTACTCCAACAAGTACCCGAAGCACTTGAAGTCGCCTGAGGCGGAGTTGGGGGATTTCTGTGCAAGTGAGGACGTGTTTTTACCGGAGGGGTATGTCGGGAAGAGAGCCCGGAGAAAATTACTTGAAGCCATTCCCAAATCAACCCCAGTCACGCTCTCCGTAGATCCTGTGGCAAAAGCATGGGCGGTCCTTGCACTCTGGGTCAGGCGCGTGCTTGCCCAGACCTCAGCAAAGAAAGGGGGGCCACAGGTTTTTTTGTCTAGGGTTCTCGAAGCACTCTGGGATCCTTCTTGCCACATCTCTCCACGCCGTTCGAACGCGCGGTTCTGGGGCCCCCACCATCCTCGGGGCTGCACAGGAAGACGCAGGCGACCGACTCGTGGCGGTACAGCTTCGTCAGCGCATCCCAGCCCGCGGCGTACTTCCCCGGAAAACTGAACCAGCAGACGGAGGCGTCTTCCTTAATGTCGCCATGGAAACTTTCGGTGCTGAGCTGCTGTTGGGCCGTGGTCACCGCGGGCTGGGCCGCCAGTGTCAGATGCAGCGTTTCGCGAAGAGAATGAGTTGTCCGACTTCCGGGTTTGGCCTGGCAGCAGGGGCCCCCAGCAGGGCTTCAAAAAGACTCTGCACGAGAGCCCTGCGAGCTGCTTACTACAAGTCCCTGCCCTGTAGTACCGGAGAGTCCGTGACGGCAGATGCTGTCTCATAGGCTGCATCCCAAACTCTGAGTCTTGCTATGCCCAAAACTACAAAACCCAAAGTAGTCCAGACTTCAGGTTCCATGTTCCTGCCCTTTGACGGCCTCCCCGCTGACGTGAGCTTGCAGCTCCGCAGGCGCGGCTTCGGGATCCTGTCGCAGGGCCGGCGTCATCAGTGACCGTCAGTCACCTTCGAGCTCAGCTACTACTAAGCCTGGCTACACTGCCACACAGAGCAGTGGGGGAAGTGCTCAGGAGAGTCAGACGAGGGAAGAGCTCATCCAACCCTCACGCGAGACGACTCGCCATAAGCGCACAAGAAGACGATTGCGTGGAAGACAGCAGAAACAGGGGGTCTTGTGATCTTGTGTCATCAGGGATTCCGCGTTCCGTATTTCTTGCAGCACCGCATGCTTCCACAAGAGGCCATCTTTTCACATATTCCAGTATGAAGCCTCTGCAGGCCCTTCAAACTTGTATACGGCAATCACCGTACGAGATCGTATGGTGTGGTCTTAATTCAAGCTCAAGGGCAGGGTTCTGAAAGACGAGTGTTGTGGCACCAGCCTGCACCTGTCGTTTGTGTCCCACATCATTTAAGAGGTGGAGTCGTGAGATGGATGGTTGCTCTGACCCAGACACGTCGGAAGAGACTGGACATCGGCAGCGCCTTTGCGTCCTGGCTGGCCGGGCTACCCGGTTTTGAGAATAACCGATAGCCAAGGACAAATAAAGTGCAAGCAGCTGCATCAGACTTCCCCAACCAGAATACCCAATCTCATCCGGACAGTTCGCCATGGTGACTGTCATCACGACTGGTAGCTTCTGTGCGTTCGCCAACCAAGTGCAAAGGCCTGATCTTTCACTTCAGGTGCCGCCTGCAGCAGCTTTGAGGAAGGCTTGGGGTTCTGGGTCGAGGCCTGCCAGTTTGGTTTGAGGGGCTGCCGCGTGCACCATGGAAGCTCCGGTTGACGATAGACGGGATGTGCTACGGACATGCCTTCAAAATAAGTGGCGTAATCTAATAGTACGTAGCAGTCTAGGAGTCTAGGCGTAGTCGTAATCGTCGTCGTCCTTCATCGTCGTCATAGCAGTAGTAGCAATCATCATAGTCATGGAAAAAGCCGTATGAGTAGACTATGAGTAGCAACTGTTGCAGTAATCGGTGCAGCAGAGGTTCTAATAGTCGTAGATGTTATAAGTTATAAAAGTAAGAGTTGTGGCAATGCTAGGATCATGGGCTGTTAAGGGGGGGGGGGGGAGGCCCCCCCACAAGTACCTTTAGCAGGGGGTTCTGGCACGGCCAAGTTCTTTTCTTAGGGTTGTCGGCACACAAGGCAGAAAAGTACTTGTTGGGGGCCCCCCATGTACTTATTCAAAGGCTTGTCGCAACCACTGCAGCGCGTACCCCCTTGAATCCCCTTGAAACCCCTAGTCGATGATCCCTTGCCACCGACTCAAAAAGCAGTGACGTTGTGTAGTTGTGCGATGTTGCGCGTTCTGTGTGCTTGCTCTTCGCAGAAATTCACTGTTCAGTCATGTTCAGTTCGCTGTGCAGCGCGCCGTCAGTCCATCTTATCAGCATCAAGCCCTTTCAATCCAATCCCGCTTCATTTGCCCCTCCAACCAAGCCCTTCCCGCCTGCCAGCCAACCCCTATGAGACCCAACTAAGCCCTTTGAAGGTCTTTCACTTGTGGCTCCCAAGCCATGTTCGGCCCACAGACTGCCCAACCAAGCCCTTTCAAGGTGGGTCCCGAAATGAAAACCTACTGCATTTTGTGGGTCCCGGCGACAAGCCCGTTCCAAACCCACAAAACGCAGCCTTCCCAGTCTACCGTCCAGCCCCTTCCACCAAACCCTTCCCGCCTGCCAACCAGCCCCTATGAGGCCCAACTAAGCCCTTTGAAGGTCTTTCACTTGTGGCTCCCAAGCCATGTTCGGCCCACAGACTGCCCAACCAAGGCTGCCGGATCAAAAAAAACAAAAAAGGAGCAACAAAAAGACTACGCAGCCCAGGATCAAAAAATAAAAAAACAACCCTGAAAACGTTCGAGTACTAAAACTCGATTTTTGGTACGTTTTCGGAACCCGATCGAGGACCCTCTCACACGAAACGCGTGTCGAGGCGCTAAACCTCGAGTTTTGGAAAGGTTTTCCGGGCACGATTGACGACCCTCCCTCTCACACGAAACGCATCTCGAGGCGCCAAAACTCGAGTTTTGGGACGTTTTCGGAGCACGATCGACAACCCCCTCACACGAAACGCATCTCGAGGCGCTTAAACTCGAGTTTTGGTACGTTGCTCGCGACGCGATCGACCAATATATTATGCATCTCTATATATTATTTATTTATATTCATGTTAATCTTAATATGAATATTAATAGTAATATCAATAATAATATTACCATAAATATTACTATTAATATTAATATTAATATTAATATTAATATTAATATTAATATTAATATTAATATTAATATTAATATTAATATTAATATTAATATTAATATTAATATTAAATAATAATATTAATATTAATATTAACATTAAAATTCATATGAACATTTGTCTTCATATTATATTAACATAACATATCATGTACGATATAATACAATATATTATATTATCAAGGAATATATAATATAATATTTTTAAAAAAATATTTAAACATATGATATAAGATACATTATGAATAATATAATACAATAACATAGAATACACTATAATGTAATATAATTTAAGATAATAGTTTATGATATAATATCATATAATATAAACTATTTCTTTTATAATACATAACATATAATATATAATATTTAATATTTAATGTCTAATGTCTATATATTATCTAACATATATATATACTGTATATAATAAGATATATATATATAGATATAATACATGATATTAAATATCTAAGACCTAATTTTAAAATATCTAATACATAATAATGGTAGTATATAATAAATAACATATAAAATATAGTATACAATATATAATATATCAGTAGTAGTAGTAGTAGTAGTACTAATAGTAATAATAGTTGTTGCTGTAGTAGTAGTAGTAGTAGTAGTAGTAGTAGTAGTAGTAGTAGTAGTAGTAGTAGTAGTAGTAGTAGTAGTAGTAGTAGTAGTAGTAGTAGTAGTAGTAGTAGTAGTAGTAGTAGTAGTAGTAGTAGCAGCAGTAGCAGTAGTAATAGTAGTAGTAGTAGTAGTAGTAGTAGGAGCAGCAGCAGCAGCAGTAGTCGTAATCGTAGTCGCAGGAGAAGTAGTAGTAGCAGTAGTAGTAGTAGCAGTAGTTGTAGTAGTAGTAGTAGTAGTAGAAAAAGACCCCCAGTTGCAAACACAATGCTCGCATCATGGGTCTCGAAAAGACGTATGCTTTGAAGCAAGCTTGCGCGATTTGAAAAAGCGGGGTCTGGGGGGGGTGCAGCCCCCCCAACACGCAAACACAATGCTCGCGTCATTAATTTCGAAAAAAAAAAACGCTTATTTTTCGAAGCAAGCTTGCGCGACTTGAAAAGCGGGGGGGTTGGGGGGGGCGCAGCCCCCCCCATTTGCAAACACAATCCTCGCATCATGGCTTTCGACACACGCGTATGCGTTGAAGCAAGCGGTTGCGACTTAAAAAAAGAAGCCAAGAAGCCAAGAAGCCAAAAAGCTAAAAGCCGAGGAGAGCCAGGAAGCCAAGAAGCCAAGAAGGCAACAAGCCAAGAAGCCGGGAAGCCAAGAGTTCCACTCGGAAAACGTGCCAAAACTCAGGGCTTTAGCGCCTCGAGATGCGTGTCGTGTGAGAGGGTCGTCCATCGTGCTCTGAGAACGTACCAAAACTCGAGTTTTTGCGCCTCGAGACGCGTTTCGTGTGAGAGGGTCGTCGATCGCGGCCTTGTTTTTTTTTGATCCTTTTTCATTTTCTTTTTGATCCTTTTCTATTTTCTTTTTGATCCTTTTCTATTTTTTTTTGATCCCTATCCCCCCAACCAAGCCCCTTCAAGGTCCACAACTTCTGGGTCCCGAAATGAAAACCTACTGCATTTTGTGGGTCCCGGCGACAAGCCCGTTCCAAACCCACAAAACGCAGCCTTCCCAGTCTACCGTCCAGCCCCTTCCACCAAACCCTTCCCGCCTGCCAACCAGCCCCTATGAGGTCCAACTAAGCCCTTTGAAGGTCTTTCACTTGTGGCTCGTGACTGGCCCAAGCCATGCTGCCCAACCAAGCCCTTTCAAGGTCCACAACTTCTGGGTCCCCCTTACAGAGCCCGCATGCGTGAGCCCACCTCTCTGCCGTGACAGCAAGCGCCCTCGCCGTCTCTATGACTAAACCATCCTAAACCCTTCAAACCAAATATTTTGTAGTCAGATTTACGGAAAAAGCCTTTTCTTTTCAATGGCTCGTTTAGAGATTTTGCAGCATAGACCGGCAAGTGGCCAAATCTGCAGGCTGGTTGGCAGACGGGAAGGGCTTGGTTGAAGGGGCTGGATGGCAGACTGGGAAGGCTGCGTTTTGTGGGTCCTGGACTGGCTTGTCGCCGGGACCCACAACATGCAGTAAAGTTTCACTTCGGGGCCCAGAAGGTCTGGCCTTGAAACGGCTTGGTTGCTTGGTTGGGCAGTTTGTGGTGGTCACGAGCCACAAGTGAAAGACCTTCAAAGGGATTAATTGGGCCTCATATGGCAGGCGGGAAGGGCTTGGCGGCAGGGAGTGGACGGCGACTGGTACTGCGTGAAAAAGCACAGGGCCCTGGTACCCCCCCCCAGTCAATAAGAAAAAGAACTTGAAAAGCACGTTCTTTAGGGTACCCCCCCACCCCCCCCCCAAGCACTTTTTAACGGACCCCTGATATGCTAGGTGCCTGAACATCTCCCTTGCAGTCGAACTTGCAGCAACAGAGAATGCAGCAGCAGCCAGAGGTAAGAGCAACAACTTCAACAGTTCTTGTGGATTACGAAGAAGCCCGAAGCCCAGAAACTGGGGGGGCAGCTTAGAGTTGGCTCTTGCAGACTCATGCCCCAAAAATGCACCCTGCCTCTCCGGGCACATTCAAAGCTGCTGCCTGCATGCGCATGCACAGAAGAGCTATAGGAGCAGCACAAGAACAAATATCACGGTGAGATATGACAGCACAGTAGATGCCGCATTCCAAACTCCGACTTCCACCCCCCCCCCCCTCAAAACAAAGACACACAAACACAACAAAAAGCGCGAACGTATACAAGTGTGGTCCAAAGAACGTGGAACTCTGGCGATTCTTTCTTGGTCTTCTTGGGTCACGAGATGCCATGACTCACGCTTGTGATTCCTGTTTGGCGGCCTCCCCGCCGACGTGAGCTTGCAGCTCCGCAGGCGCGGCTACGGGATCCTGTCGCAGGGCCAGCGCCCAGAGAGAAAGGGAAGTGCTCCAGGAGAAAGATCCAACCATGATCGAAGTCAACCGGCTATTCTAAGGCACGCAGGATGACAATTGCCAAGACAACTGTAGCTGCATGTCTCGCACCGCAATGGATTCCAGACCTTTACAGCACAGTATGTTTCCACAATGTGCCGCAGCTTAACAATCTAGTATACCACCTCTGCATGCCCTTACAATTACACTGCGCGACATCGCACAAATCAAAGCTCAATGGTAGGGCGAAAAAATGAAGTTGTGGCATCAGCCCGCACCTGTGGTTGGTGTGGCTCCTTCTCGTCCTGGTGCACACATCTAGGTGAGAGTTGCGAGTGGAATCTGAGCAGTAGTACCAGGCTGGGAATTGGATAGGAAGACATGGATACCTCACTTCTTGCAGCACAGCTGTTTCCACAACATGCCGTAGCCACAAATTCTGTGATAAATCTCCGCATGCCATTAATACTGTACATTACAGAACAAAATCAACCTGCAGATACCTGTAGCATGGTGATCCCAAGATCGTATAGCGTGGTCTGTGCGTGCCACACCGCGGAATTGCTCAAAGTTCAACCACAGGATTCTGAGAGGTGAAATTCTGGCACCAGCCTGCAGCCTGCACCTCGAGTTAAAGTGGCACATCTATATGGGGGATGAGCTGAAGGTCCGTCGTCAACTACTCTGGTACAGTTTCGAGATGGCTGGCTGCTCAAGTGCAATCGGGTCTGACCCTGACACGTCGGAAGAGACTGGACACCAGTCCTGGAGCACCGCCATGGCCGACGACCGCGTCTCAGGCAGCCCCTTGATCTCCTGGCTAGCCGGGCTTCCGGGTCTTAAAAATCCCGGATAGGTGAAGCATGAAACCCTTCCTGTGCTGCGAAACCCTCAGTTCCATGAAGTCAATGCAACTACCGGGACACCCCAGCTTGCTCCTCATGCACCTCATCTGCGTCAGCCTGCTACGCAAGCAGCTGCATCAGGCTCCCAAACCATGGTACCCAATCCCATCCGGGCAGATCGCTAGAGGGACTAATCAGGACTGGTTGCTTCGGTGAGTGTTTAAGGGCAAAGCAAAGGCCAGGCCACATCTTTCACTTGAGGCACTGCCTGCACAAGTTTTGAGGAAGGCTTGGAGTTCCGGGGTTGGGCCTGCGCAGGCCTGTTATAGGTCTGAAGGGCTGCAAAGCACTCAAACGTGTTACTTGTTTGCATGCAACTCCAAAGTAAAATGTTCTGTAGCCAGGACGCGGCCCTGGGCCCTCAAACAACCAGCAGTTCTCGAATCAAAGGCTTGGCGCGACCTAATCTTGATACAGGTCAAGAGCATGTCAATGGCATGTCAAGACCTCTGCCCCCCTTGCACCATGTTCCAAAGTGGCTGCTAGAATTCCCAGAACTCCCTGAGCTTTGGCTTCGCCTGGGCTGCGCAATCGTGGCCCGGAGTCGAGGCAGGTGCCCTCGGTCTCCAGAACGGTCCAACATGCTCTCAAACTCAATTCACCATCAATAGAATATTTATTATCCATTCAAAGAATCTGATGTTGGCACTGTCATTTGTGCCCCCCAGATGTACCTTTCTGCTCTTCTTGCACCCTGCGTTGTACTATGTTGTAATGCTGAAGCCTTGTGAATACAGCCGATGGTGTGCCCCGCTCTCGTACTTCCTTCGGAGCGGTTAAAGCTCGCGTCCTCCCCAGAATCCGACCCAAAAGCCTGCCTCCTGTGGCCCTTTTGAGGCTCCGGCGCTCTGGGCTCGGCCGGGTATCCTGCAGATGCTTCCATCCTCAGCCCGACACCAATGAGTCGATGAGCTCTTTGGTGGTTCTTGCTTCTGGCTCAGGGATAGGGGGAGTTCGGGGGCTCTTGTGTCTTGGCTGACTTCTGAACCCCTCCTAAAAGTTTAACTTTTGGTCTCCTTACTGTCGTTTCTACAAAAACCCAAAAAGTTAAAGTCCGAAGAGCCAGCCAGAAGAAAGCCAAGGTGTCTTCGGGATGGCTTCGAAACAGGAGAGGACATCCCAAGAATTGCAGAGTTGAAGGTGCTCAAGGGCTTCTTCGCGAAGGACAATTTGCGTACTTTGGAAAGGATTGCCATTTGCAACTAACTACCCACAATCCCGGAATACCCAACGGGGGACCTCTTCGGCTACATGTTGGGAAGGTTCCACGAGAGCGTGGAAAACGTGAGAGAAGAGGATCTCGGAACTCCACATCTGAATCTCGCTTGCTACCTTTCCAGCGGCATAGACGACGTCAATGTGCGGGGGGGCTGGGCTTGCTATTCTCCGGACGACTGCCTCATCGTCAAGCCTAAGCAGAGGCTCCGGCGGCGGCGATACGGTGTCCTCTGCGGTGCTGATGGCTTGACGGAAGTTTTGGGCGCAGCCGCTGAGGCGATCAGGGTTCCAGTCCATGCTTCAGGTTATTCTTGAATCTGTCTCGGTACAGCACATCAACAGTCTGAAAGAAACTCGGATGCCACTGCGCGGTGTCTTGTCTAAATAGCCTTCGATGCCGATGCTACTCCATACAAGCCAGGCAGGAAGGTCAACAAACAACTGTACGTAAAGCAGGAACCCTCAACCCTAAACTGACTGCATGCCTAGAGAGGGCCATGAGCACGGGCCTGCGTCGCACGCACTGCCCGCATGCCCTGGAGTTCGGAGACCTCCTTTGCATAAAGGTACCATGCAAAAAGCGTCATAATGTGCCTAAAGACCTTTCAACGCTGGTTTTCTCAAGGCGTCGTTTGTCAGCTCTTATTTGCTGGTCCCCTCCCTGGAAGCCTCCTCCCGACCCGATCCCTTGTCAATAAAAAAAGCAAGCTGCTTGTGCTGGCACCACGACAGCTTTTGGCCAACACTCATATCAAGGCTCGACTTTAAGTCTCTGTGTGTAGATCCATAATTTGGACAAGGGTCCTGCTTCAGCTGGGAATTCTCGGCCCGAAGGTGTGTCACTTCCTCCTTCATGCACGGATGAATATAAGACTGCAGCATGGGCTGCGCCATGGCCGAGTCCCACAAGATGCAGCAAGCAGACCATGGAGAGGCAGCTTTCAATGAAACACCTTCATAAGAGGTTCGGAGTAAGGGATGACAAAGTAGCCATCCTCCAAGAGAGCGAGGCGCTGCACAAGGCTCGCCTGAGCAGGTGCGAAAAGTCTTGGGTGCAACTCGAGGGATCTCCACTTCAAGAGTCTTTGGCTGCAAAAGATGCAGTCAGCAAGGTGCAAAAGGCTTCTCGCAATCCTTCTGCTTCCTATAGGGCACCTCTATCCATCTCCCTGGCTAGGCAAAAACCACGGATGCTACAATGCTACATCTACGAACACAGCTTCCTAGTTCTTCATAAGGCACGAGGTTCCTCACATACCCCTAACAACACAGAAACTGCATATGTATATGAGCAAACTCGTTACTAGTCACTAGCCCAAGGACTGAATTCGAAGGGCATGCGCAAGCCCTCGCGAACAGGCAAAATTCAAAGCGCTGTTCGCACGCTGAGGCTGTCAGAGACACAGAACGGCCGGCGCCTGCGCATCTTTCTGCATTTGTCCACTTCCAACTTGGGCATCCGTCTTTTCCTGCGCAGGAGCCGCGATCACAGAACTTATGAGGCGGTCTTGTCTCTGTCAGCCTGTAGCTTGCTATAGGAGCAGCCAAACGACGGCTACCAAGACGACTGCTACTGCTACTGCTTTTAGTACTGTATTCTTGATTCTTTCTTCTATATTCTTCTAGATATACGGTACTTTGCGCATTTCCGGATGGAGTCCCTTCGCCTTTTCCTGGCAGCGCGCGATTTGCCTATCTGTGATTTCCCAATCTGCCTATAGTCCCTATTCCCAGTCTAAACTTCGCGGGGCTGAACCTGCTTTTTTGCCAATCCGCCGAGTCACGATGTTCCTAAATAGTCCAAACTTCATGGGTGTTGAACCTACCTAGTCCAAATTCTCCAGCAATGCAAAGTCGTGCCTATCAGTCCAAGATTTTGGGTGGCATGCTTGTCCACACTTCATATATTCATATCAGGATGGCACTCCCTGCACATATGACATTCTAATCCGTATCCTAGTGCATCCGAGTACGCCCACGCCGCATCCAAGACGACGACAACGTGGGCAAAGCAGACAGTTGCCAGCTGGCATGAGTGCACTTCCGCGCCTTCTCGTCTCGCTTGTGCGCCTCGTCCTTGGCCTGCCGCGATCTAGAACCACAGAATGCCAGCGGCTTCAAGTGAGCGAACCCGCCTTTGCCGCCGTGACACGGCAAACAAGCCAGCACATCTGATGTACGCACTCCATGCATGCCCAATGCGAAGAGATTTCGCATGTGCAATCTGATGACCAAACGTTTCTGCATAAGCCATTCAAACTCTAAACACAAAGCAATGAGCACCGCTTCTCATTGCTACTTTACTTATCAGCTCTGTTTTGCCCTAGGCAACCCTGATCGTGGAGCCAGTCTCTTTAAGCATTCTTCAGAAGATATATCTGTAAAAGCATGGCCTGCAGCAAGTGCTCATAGTAGTCTCGCTGTTCCTGACGGACAGCTTGCACTTCCGCCAAGCTTTTGCGTCTCAGCCGCACATCTTGGCTCCTCATTCCCTAATGCAACCTCGTGCTTCTGTGTAGGATTGTGCTTAATCTTTTGGGTCCCTGAGCCCTAAACCCCAACCCGACCCTTAGCCCTGAACACCGCCGCGTTGGAGCCTGCAGGGCTTTCTTGTGTGACTCGTCCTGTTCCTGGCACGCGGCGAGTCTGCTGCATACGAGATACGATGGCAGAGCAACGATACATGCAGCCATCGATGACGACTGTCCTCGTTAAGCCCTCAAGCGTAGACCGCAAACCCTAAAACCTATACCCTAACATCAAACCACAGTGCACGCAGAAAGTGGAGGCGAGGCCTTCAACAATTTCTCGAAGTGTTCTCGCAGTGCCTCAGCTTTGTTTGACCCGCTCACTTTCTTACTGCCCATCCACATTAAGGTTTGGGAATCCTCCGAAAGTAGCTTGTGCCGGCCGATCCGCATGCAAAGCTGCAGAGATCCATACACATGCTTTACCGTAGTTACAACCTGCCCTGCCTGAGAAGGGCGCTCAGTGCCCAAACGCCCAACAACAAAAAAAAAACGATCCCGAACTGCAAACAGCCAATCCCAAACCCCCCCCCCGCCTTCAGTGACCCAAAACACCCAGTCAAAGCCCCTGAATCCCAAACCCCAAGCCCCACAAAGATCCACAATCTCTTAAACTTCCCGTCCAAAGGTACGGGAGCTGCGGGCGCTGGCCTTGCCAACAAGCTTTAGCTTCTTTAGGGGGGCTTCGCGTTCTGAAACAAGGGTTTAGGGTTTGGGGTTCAGGGTTGTTGTGAATGAATTACGGAGGCCCCATTGACATGCCTGCCTGATACAGGGGCGGGGCGCATTGGCAATTGTGCCCTCCGTCAGCTTGACGGGCTAGTACAGTGCGGCTTGAGGCTTCTCCATGGGTATGAAAACAAGGGGTTGGGGTCGGCACGGGCCTGCAGGATTGAAGCGTCGGCTTATCCGCCATGAAGGGGCTCCTGTTTTTTCTGCAAACCCGAGATTGGAGCTTGGAAGTGAATCAGGGCCCCCTAAACCTGAATACCCTAAGCCTTCACACCCAAAAGTTGATGCTCTGACCCCTAAACAATGAACCCTGAACCCTAAAGCCCTAAGAACCCTCTACCCCTAAACCCCCAAAAGTCCCAAGAGGCCCCGGCTCTCTCGGCTCGGCCCAGGATCCTGCAGATGGTCCTGTCCTGATGAGTCTACTGTGGAACACACCGGTCTCCCATTTTCTTGCACTCTTTTGCTAGTTTTCTGTTACATTTCTTTTTGGGGAGTTCCAGCGAGACCAGAGCGCCCGATGAGCGGCACTGCAGGGCAAAAGCTCTACCGTCACTCCGAAGATAGCGGGAAGGAGGAATACTGGGTTGCGCTTGCGATTTCAGGCGCTGCTGCCTCAATTGCGCCTCATTGTAAGCCCAAGCAGAGGCCCCGGCGATGGCGATCCGGTGTCCTCGCTGGCTGGTGGCTTGACGGCAGTGCTTCAGGTTGAGTAGGGCCCTTCTCGGACCAAGAGGATCAAGAGTCAGAAAACTCGGACACAGATGCATGGTGTCTTCCTGCGTTGCCGATTCCACGAGCAAGTAAGGGACAGATGCACAGTGTCGTATCTGTGTAGCCTGCGGCCTTCCTTGAAGCGCTGCCCCCCCCCCGCCCTCGCCCACTGCATGCTCGGGAGCCCTTGGCAGGGGCCTCTGCTGCACGTGCCGCCAGGATGCTCTCAAGCTCAGCGATCTCCTGTGGGGCAGGGTCGCCATCCATGCAAGGCCACTGCGGCAAACTCCATGTGTCACTCTCTTAATTTCCAATGTGCACCTTTCCTGGGCTCTCTCATCTCTCTCCACCCCTTGTCACCTTTCGGAGATCTGTCTGTTCAAGAACATCCGAGTTGTGAGCGGAACGGCATACACGTGAGGTCTGAGTTATTTGTGCTTTCTCAGAGGTGGGGGCAAATGCGCTGCTGCAGGACGCCGATTTCTGAGATGCAGGGGTCGGGCAAGCAAAAAGGAAAAACCACCACGTCATCGCAGTAGATCTTCAGATGCGCTGGCTTCTCTGAACTGTGAGTTGTCTGAGTCCTGCAGGGAGTTCCTGAATATGCTTGGCTGCGTTCTACTGAAGGCACGTCTCGCACAGCCAGGGTTTCAGCGGGCACGCCGAGCCCCCCAGCTGCAAAAGGTCCCTGATCCTCTCCTGTAAAGCAAAGCTACTGGAAACAGCGGCCCGAAATGGCAAACACCGACAACACCCGCCCTTCCCAAACCCAAAAAAGCGCTCGCCCCACAATCTTCCCGAACCCCTTGCAGCGAGCTCCTGCTTCAGGACATGATTCCGGCGGACGAGCGACATAATCGGCCCGTGGCTTTCTGGGTTCGTCAGGCGTTCCCGCAGCCAGTCGATCATGAAGTCCACCGGGGCCTTGCGGGAGATTTGGCAGCATGGCCACTCAAACCCTATAAACCCTATAGTAATAGACCCCATGAGCCCCACAAGCCCGATAAAGGCCAACAAAGCCTCCCCAATTCTCGTGGGGAAGAAGCCGCAGGAGCCGCCCTTCTCAGAAGCAGTTTTATACCAAGGCCGGGCGCCGGTTCGTTGCGCGGGGTGATTTCTATTTTCGAGGGCCATGAAGTTGGGCCTGAGCTTCTGTCTGCGAACTCTACATAGGAATCCATCATCACAACACTTTGAATCACAATTAACAAACAGGTATACTAGTCATGTGTCATAAATGAATCAGAGCTGCTTCTCAAGCAGCATAACAGCCCGAACCCTATGTACTCTAAAACCCCTGAAGCCACGAAGAGAAACTGGTCACTTCGGGGGGCGCGGGCCGTGCCTGGGGCATGCTACGGAGCACGTCTTCGGTCAGGTCCGTGGTCAACGGCCGCAGGATCTCCATCCCATACTCCTCCTCTCGAGCGTTTCTTTTGAAGGGACTTGAAAAAGGGTGTTCAGAGCGCCTTAAAAAGTGTTAAACAGGTTTTGAAAGGGCTGTTAAACGAACTGAAAGTGGGTTCGGGTTTGTTGGGGGTCCTCGGCCGATCCGTACATGGCTGAAGGTGGAGTCGAACGACCGGACCTAGGTGGGGCCGGGTGATCGCTTTTAGGATCCTACTCTCGAACTCGAACGGCCAACTTGGGACAGTTGCTAGGGGGATAACATCGGCGGACCCACCAAGATGTCATTTAGTAAATTTAAGGACGATTAGTCCTGAGATTCCCGTTAATAACCCGCTTGGGGTATGAGGAGAATGCTGCTCCAACTGTTTGGGAGTGTACTGTATGTTTAGGATCAGGAGATCAACAACTGGGAATTGAACCTCGACGACTCAGATGCGAACGTGTGCATTGAAAGCAAGCCGAGTCAGGCGTTTAGGGTGTAACCGGTTCAGGCTTAAGTTTAGGTTTATAGGGTTTGTATAAGAGTTATAGTGCTTATAGGGAGATCATGATCAAATCGAAGTTTTCCAGCCCTTAGCCCTGCTGGGCGCAATGCAAAGCGTCAATGGCGCCGGAACTCTTGACAACCTGCGCCCAAACGCCACGAGTGTGGAAACCCTCATACCTAAACCCTAAACCACAGGCACAATCACGCCTGTGAGCCTTGGCTTGTTCCGCGCCAGCACACTAGCTAAACCCGCATTCTCCCACCCGCTTGGTACCCTATGGAAACGGTTCAAGGGTTGCTCTAGGGGTGATAGCAACGATGCGCGGGACTCGGAATCCAGTCTTGGCAGCGTGCCTCGCGCGCCGGCGTGCGCGGGGCCGTCTGGGACTATGGCAGGGCGGCCCTGGACCCTGCAAGTCCTATAAAGTCTAAACCCTAAAACCCTACAAACCCTAAAGGTCCTTTAAGAAAGGCCCCATAGGACCCAAAAACCCTGGTTCTGGCTCTGAGTTGCTGAATTTGCCTTCGCTCTTCGAGAATGCTGAGGGATGACTACAAGGGGATTGGCCCCGAAAAGCCCGATTCAGGTGCTCTATGTAATCCTTTTAGGGGGGATACAGGGCACCAAGCTCCTTTACCTCCCTCTAAGAACCAATAAGAAGGAGACTACCGTGTATGCATGCAAGATGCAGATGAGATAGCTCAAAAAACACTTCGGATAAAATTCGGATGCTGCTTCTTTCCGGCCGCTGCCGTGCTGGACTGTGTAGCTCAGATCATTTAGATTTAGGACTTTGGAGCCGCCGCCTGCGGGACATGGAAAGTGCCAAATTGCGACTTCCGCTTCAAAGGATCTGTGCTGTTCTGAGATTCTGAGATGTCTGGAGCATGTGGAATGTGGTGCGTGGAGCTCTCGTGCGATGCTGGAGGTTCGAAAGGCTGCGGAGGAAAGTCAAGCAAGTTCGCGCGATTGCCAAGGGATGCCGTACCTGACTTAGTCACCCGAAGCTGAGGCGACGTTGACACAGGGGTGCCCTGGAAACTCCCGGTTGATCTCGTGGCGCGCACCTACGTCAAACCCTTAAATGAAATCCTTAAGGCGCATCTGCCACTGTTGAGTAAACACATGCAAATTATTGGGCGGAGGTGCGCTGCCACCGTGTGCGTTTGCATGTGTTTCTTTAACAGCACCCAGGAGCTCCCGAAGCCGACATCTTGTTCCACTCGAAAATGGGATGTCGTTTGCTTACAGCCGCCTTTTGCAGTCCTTGGTGGCATGCTCTTGTTCAGAAGCAAAGTGTCCCCAAAAATACCATCTTAAGCCTTAAGCTTACTGTAGCTTACTTATAGCGCAACCCCCTGTGCATTTCGGACTTCTTCCGTGGCAGCCGCACGAGGGTCGCCCCAGGCTGAAGCTCCCGAGTGGCGCTTCTTGAGTCGGACCACAGCCTGCACGTAGCGGGTTTCTTTTCGCTTGAAAGTGCAGCGCTTGCGACCGACACCTATGATTCCCAAAATGGCCAAATGTGCTGTTCCAGGGATGTTCCGGGGTCTTTGCGCTGCGTAAGGGGAAGAACCTGCAAAACCCCAGCCCTGCCTTAACAGGATGCTTGCCTACCTTGGTATCAAAGGCGATAGAGAAGATCGATAAAACCCAACTCAGCCTTTGGGGACTGAAGCAGAGGGGATAGCGACCCACACCGATGAACAAAGACCTGTCGATGAGACGATGATGGGCCAAGATATGTGAGAGTCATAGGGTCTCAACACCGGATCTCGGAAGGCTTCAGGGGACTGGTCTGTTCGTTTCGTGTCACCCGGAGGAGGCTTCCGTTGGAATCCGAAGCCAAAGAGGTGCCTGACAGCCTGAGGCTTGACGCTCTACTTCTCCCATTCTTTCGGGGAGGCCGAAGTAGCAAGAATGCAGCTAGCCGAGGACGACGAGATCGTCGACCTTCCTTTTGGCCCTTGTCACTCATATGATTGAAAAGATTCGCAGTCTTGGGAGCATGGCAAAGCTTGGGGGGCTGGGGGGCTGCTCTTCGTTTCAGGCACCCACTTTGGGGAGAAACCAGCCCCCGGGTGTGCCTTCTCAGGATCAGTCGATGCACTTGTCCTCCGCCGGCAACGCCTCCGGAGCCGCAATGCCAGTGGCAAGGCTTGGACCCAAAAGTGCTTAATTAGTTATCTTACTGTTGGTTAGTAGGGAATGAAAGAATGAAGCACTATTGTACTTACAATTGCTACCATTCTTTCATTCCCTACTAACCAACAGTAAGTTATGGGTCTAGCTATGCCAACAGTACAGTGCCTGCAGCGCCCCACACCTCCAGCTTGGCCTTGAGGTCTGCTTTCACATCGTCGCCTCGGGTCGGAAGGGTTCTTTTTCTTGGGTGAGCAGTTGCGTAGAAGAAGTGCAAAGGTTGAGGGAACAAAGAGGCTTCAGGTCAGGGCAAGAGAGCCTACGAGGGTTTGGCGTCAAGATTAAGACTCGCTTAAACGTATATGCAACCTGGGGAGCATCGCAAAAGCAAGAAAGCAAGGGTTGAAAGTTGAAAGAGTTGTATCTTCACATGGGTCACCCAAAGGGAGTTGCCGGAACGCAAGCGCTCCTCAACATCGAACCCCGTCCGAGGCTCCGGCCCAGCCAGCGCCAGCGCTTGCAGCCAAAGAGGCCGCGTGCCCTCGGGGCCTCGGGGGTGGAGCTGCGGAGCTGAGGTCACGTGCCGAAAAAAGGGGCATCAGGTCAGAGGCTATCTACAGTTTCCAAGAGCGTGTTCGAGGATTCCTTGGGGCGCTTTCGCCAATACTTGGTTTTGGGGCGAGGTTTCGGGTGAAGGTTTCTGTTTGAGGTCAGGGGTCAGCCTCAAAGGGCTGCCACAACAATAGCCTCAAGTCGAGCCACCCACACACGTCGCCGGTCATTCTTTATGTTTAAAGGGGCGCAAGGATTGCGACGCATGAAAACGGAGTAGTCCACCATTCGATTTGGCTCCTGGGCTTCTGTGCGCCAAGAATTGTGAAAGACCTGACCGCTTTCAGGAAAGCCTCTGAAACCCAAGCTTGCTTTAACCGTAAACAGAACCACAGCTGTCTCGAACCTGCCCAGCAACACTCCCACAATTTCCACAAACATCCTCAAACCACTTGAAAGAGCAGCCAAGATGCGGCTTGCGGCGGCTTTGAGTTTGAGTGCGGACGGCTCATCCCCCTCATGCACGGGGCCGGCTCAGGCTTTTCAAAGGCCGTTTTTGCCATCAGCCCACTGCGAATGCTGAAGGTACCGGCTCAAGGCTCCAGGTCTCTCGAGAGGTGTTGAGTGCTTCGGCCGTTTGCCACCACCCGCTGTCCGCGAATGGAGCTCCGGCAAGAGGCCGCACCCTCGGGGCCTCGGGCTGGAGCTGGAGTTGAGGCCACGTGCCGAGAAATGGCATCAGGTCATGCTAGTTGTTTTCTATGAGTTTTCGGTGTGAGGATTGCTTCCGGGCTTGCAAGAAGAACACTTGGGGCGAGGTTTTGGGTGAAGTTTCTGCTTGAAGTCAGGGGGCTTGAAGCCTGAAACCCCGACAAACTGTCAAGGCATACGTTTACTATCCCTTTCGTTTCTGGAATACGGGCCCCTTCTTTCGATGTCGTGTGCATACACCCATTGGAGGGTTCTAGGTCACTTTAGGGTTCCGGGTCTCGGACTTTCCAGGAGGGTTTCAAGTTGAAGGTCGGAACCCCTCAACAACCCTAACCCCCTCAACAAAGCCCTCGCCACTTCTGCGCAGTTAGCTGCGAGGCTCTGGGTCTCTGCACGGAAGGGTTTTCGTTGACCATGAGTGTTGCGAGTGTGCTACTACGACCGCATCTCAGAATCTCCGCCAGCAACACCGAAGAACCCAAAAACCTATTTTTGTTTGTGGGTACCTCCGGTGGGGGCATCACTTCTGGAGATCATGCGTTCTTCTTTCGCTTTTGGGGTTCATAGGGCTTAAGCGGACGTTTTTGGTTTTCATAGGGTTTAGGGGTATGTATATATACGGAGGACCTTATAGGGTTCAGGAAAGGTGTATAGGGTTTATAAGGCACCCTCTGAAATCCTACAAGGGGGTCCTTGAAAACCCCTCCAGGAAAGAACCCCTGCCAGAAAAGAAAAAACACGAAGCCCTGGGCCTCTGCATCCAGAGCATGGGAAGCAGTGTTCGCTGTTCTCGACGCGGGGATTGCCAGACTTCAGGGCACTACACCGCGGCTCTGGAGCGATGACTAAGAATGTATACACACTCTATTTGTACCTTATCTATGTCTACTTATATAAATATATATCTGTACATTCAATGTCTGTGTATATTTCTCTACGTATCCATATCTCTAGCTCTCAACTCCGCAAATGGCCCTCACCCCTGAGCGGGGGGCGGCGCCAATCTGGATGGCAGCGGCATTTTTCGCTCAGCTTCTTGGCACTGGAAACTCTTAGGACAGCCTCTGAATGGTGGCCTTGGTTTCCAAGAACTGCAGTTCGGCCCAAAAGGACTTCTGAAGGAGCTGGAGCCTCTCCAAATAAGAGTTCGAGCTGAAAAGCTGTGACCAGAACATGGAGTCCGGATGATCAAAGTCTGGAAGTCGCTCAGAAGTTGAATATATACCGGCGTCCTTGCCCCAGTAGGCTTTCCGGCGGTGCCACTTGATTCGGTTCCACCGGCGAAGATCCAAGACATGTTCCCAGTCCCGGGCAAGACGCCACAGCTGTGAACGATCGATGGGTTGGTCCAACTCAGAAGTGGCCATTTCGCATTGCTGCGTCTCTGGATTCTTGGTTGTCGCACTCAAATGGATCACCTTTTTTGTGGCATTCATTGGACGAAAGATTGCTGGTTGGCGACATCAACTCACTGGAAAACTGCAGTTCGTCATTTGGGATTACCATCCCAGCTAGCTAGCATTGACAGCATTGACAATGAAAGTGGCCGCCATCCAGATTCTTGAAGGGAACCCAGAAAATCTCGCAACAAACGCCCACAAAAGAAACCTATGTCCTAGATTTGGGTCGGGTTGCCTTCTGAATCAACTTCCGCAACTTGAGCTCTTCTTCTTTGAACTCTTGGTCATTGTCAGTGTCACGCAAGTCCTCTACCTCGGCCAGCAACCAAGGAAATCCTGCGCAGAAGTCTTTCGGGTTGTTGATCTGACGCATTCTCACTCGCGCTCCCGTGGTCCACCATGCTCCGTGGCCAATACGGAGGCTGGTCAAATGGGCCCGCACTGCAACCTTCAGCAGTCGGTTCCCACGCCTGTTCCCACAAGCACGTGCCAGAAGGCAATCACCACCTTGGCCAAGCTCCTGGATCAACTTCTGAGGCCCATCAGTCCTGTCCCACATGTCTAAGCAGACATCGCTGCTGAGATTCATGTCTGGCCAAGGATGCGAAGACCGACAATCACTGTGACACCAACTGCTCATGTACTTCGGATTGTAGCTTCTGCACTTGCTCACCGGATAGAAAAGAATCGGGACTTCCATGCCACTTCCCTCCACCTGAGACATGTGCCTTAAGGGAGGGAAGCAGTTGGCTTCAATGAATGGTTTTTCGGCATTTGCCCTGACGTGGAAGGGCATGGCAAACTGCAATTCAAGGCGGCAGCTCAGGAGTACCACCGCCAGAATCAGAAAGCATGTCAAAGATCGCCCCATCACGGCACAGATTGCAACACCGCAAGTTGTACCAAGTTTGTAGAGGTTGGAAGCTGGATTCAAGAGCAGGGGCTGGGTCTTCCTTTTTTGGTGGGGAAGGGAAGGCGGGGGAGGGAGGAAGGGGCAATCAACGGGAAGGGCATGCAGGCATGAGGGTCTTGGGAGGGGGATGCGTTCTTACCCAGAGCCATCCGTACACCTGTAAAGCTATTGATCTTGACACAAATCTCACAGCCACGGCCATGCGACGACCCGATCTCACTATAAGGGGCGCAAAACATGCAAAAAATGTCAGAGGCAGCGGGTTCATGTGGGAATCTCAAGATGCCCGGTCCCTCTGCCTCTCCGAAACCGAAAGCACCACTTGATGTCCCATACCACTTGTCAAAGAAGGAGGGCAATCTAACACCAGGCTGGCCAAGATTTCTAATCCCTCTGAACAGTCTTCCCAAGTAACATCCATATCGGTCCATACCCAATGAGGGAAATCAGCAAATATCCTAGGGGCCATGAGATTAGCACGAGACTCTCACATCCCTCCGCAATCCGAGGCCAGGACAGCTCAACCACCCACGTCGCCACCTTGCGGTTGAGGGTTTAGGGTTCAGGGTTGAGGGCTTTCGGGATCGAGAGCTGACTGTATAGGGCTTCAAGGGGCCTTCAGGTCTAGGGTAGGGAGGGGGGGGCTTTCGGTTTTACAACAAAAGTCATGAGCTCATGCGCTCATCGCCAACATTGCATCTTCCATCATGAGGGCATGAGGGCATATATACTAGCAGAAGGAGCGCCCAAACGGGGCTTTCATGTAGCACAACCCGCTATCTCACACCCAAGATACGCAAGCTGGGGGCCCATAGCTGATGCTTGCATTCACTGCACAAGAACGTAAAGAACTCGCTTAAGGTAGCCTCATGGCGATGACATTGAGGACAAGTACCCGAATATCCTTGAGGGCCCTTCGATTTCACGCCTGGTTAGGCCGCCGCTTTCGGTGGCAATCATGTCCTTTCCCAACACAAGGTGTTTTTCGACCATCTCAGGGGCCTACCAAACTTGTTCAATTTTCCTCAGAGCATTTGAGGGCTTCGGAAGTGAGATATGTTAAGGGTTTCGGGTGTGCATGCTGTACTAACACCCCGCCTTGATCTGCCGAGCACTTTGCTCTGCTGATCACCCTTCAATCACTCTTGGTCGCACACAATGAGCACAAGGTTGGTAGTTTCGAAGATAGTTCGAGTTCTCAAGTGAGCGACATCCGGGTAGGTGATATGAATTGCCTGAGCGACTGGTGATGACTCGCTCCGGCATTCGGCCTCTGGCCAAAATCTGTACATTCTCGGCACGAAGTCGCCGATTCTCTTCTCGCACTTCAATCAGGGCTTGCTCGCATTGCTCTCTTTCTCTGCTTTCCTCACGGACTGCTTCAGTGAGGAACTCCACACGACTCTGACACTCCCGCATGAACTCTCTCTCTCTTGGGCTCATTCCAAGATCAGCTTGGCATGATGCTTCAGCTCGAGATTTTCCTTGCCTGATGCGAAAGTTGCACTCCAGGCCAAACCACTTGCATAAACGGAACATGACCCAAAGTACACCAAACCATAGGCAGCCAATCATGAAAACCGAAGTCATAGAAATCAATGATGAAATTGCTGCATCCTCCACCATGCCAAGCACCATAGCCAAGCCCAAGCCCTCGATCTCCACTCCATTGCTTCCCATCACCTGCGCCAACACCAAAAGCACAGGTAGCATCTTCTTCATTTGCTTCCCATTGAAGGCTCCACTGGCTGACACTTGACGCACGCTCATTCGAAACTCCGCTGCGGACACCTCATCCATGCCATAGGGCTCGAGATGCTCGTCAAGGGCGCCGCATCTCCCAAGCAGCTCCCTAAGCTTTGTGCAGCTCAGAGGCTTTGTGCCAATATCAGCTGGATTTCGAGCTCCAGCTATGGCGGAGGCTTTGAGAACACCCTCCTTGATCGAGGATTGCACCCACATCATGGCGCAGTCCAAGTGTCTGACACGCCCGCATCCCATCCTCTGGCTGATTCCACGGGCTGCAGCACTGTCACTCCTCATGATTGCCTCCAGGTCATAGGCATTCTTTGTCAAGTAGTTCAAGCAATCCTTGAGGTAGACAAGCTCACTTCCTCCACTGACCATGGCCACATATTCCGACTCGCCCGAACTCAACGCCACCGATCGTTGGGATCGGACATACGAGGCCAACAATCCGCCGGACATGTAGAGGTGGACTGACGTCTTGCTCTTCCGTGACTCCTTGTGCCCGGCCCAGTCTGCATCGGTCACAGACTCTATGATAAGCTTGCCTCCGAGCTCCAATGGCCCGGACCCCTGATATCCCAAGCAGCCGCTGTCTGTTGGTGTTCGCATCAAGAACCCCAGATTCGGGACCCGGACCAAGTAGCCCACAACTCGCTGCAACCACTTGAAGGACGCCTTTGTTGGGCATGCCATCTTGCTTGCCAAAACACACACTGCAAACTGAATGTCACTTCTGGTGTGGCTCAGGTACAGCAACCTCCCTACGGACTCCTTGTAAATCCGGGCTTGCACTGCTGGAAGAGGATCCGTTCTGTCGATCTCCAGGAAGGATTGGTCGGCCGGGGTGTCTCGGGGCTTCACATCTCCCAAGGCCGTGCTGAGGCCTTCCAAGTGCTTCTTCCCACTGAACATCGCAATGCCATCCTGGGTCAGGACATACTTTCTCTTCAGGAATTCCAGCTCGTCACCTTCACGCACCATCGGTGGAGACACCTTCACCTCCACTTTCCGCTCGAACGTCTTCACAAGCTCGGCACGGGCTTGCGGCGTCGATGCCAGAATGGCGTCATCTGCGTGTAAGACCAGTCCTCGTTCTTCACCAGGCTTTTCACTTCTGAAGAGCGTCGGCTCTTTCTCGTAGCCCTTCATCCCCGCCTCGGCCAGCATTTGCTTCATGTACTGGAACCACTCACTTGCAGCGATTCTTTGCCCTGGAAGGAGGCGCTCAAGGATGAAGGGGACGGTCTGGACATGCTGTCGCCCAAACAGTCTCGCATCCACCTCAATGACTACGGGGGCCTTCTGGGGGACATTCAGGTAGGCATCTTTGATGTCGAGCGTCACGAGCTCCAAGTTGCGCGCGCGCGCCCACGCCATCATGGCGTGAACGACTGCCAGGCTTGACGCCGGCGCAAAGAGTTCTTGACTCCAGGGCATCCACGTTCGAAATTCTCTGGCCACCAGCCTGCTGCGCCGCACCCACGTCGGCCGCTTTCTCCAGTCTCTCACTATCTTGGTGGTGAGGACGCTGTAGGCTGAGAAGTCCTCCCCAGGGAGTGGCTCACGCAAAGCCTTCATGTCGATCAGCCTCGTGACCTCCTTCAAGTCGCTCGCCAGGTCCATCTTCTCCAACTCCTCAGGGCACAGATCTGGCGGAGTCTCGCCCTCGAATGCCTCCTCGAGAATTTCAGCCTCAAGCACTTCTTCCACCTCATCGAACCAGCTTTCCCACTCAGCAAGCTCCTCAGTGGGGACATCGCCATGGACTTGGTTGACACCAGCATACCCTGGAGGGTACAAGCTTCGCTGGTCTGCGGGCCTATCCAACAGAAGACGGGCTCGCTTCCCAGGTGGATCACTAGGTCCTGGTCTTTCGGCTTCCCTTGTGACCCGGCCACTTGTTTCCATGGGCACCGGCCCTGAGACAGGGGCCTTTGGAGCTGCTGCTGGCGCGTTGGCTTTCGGGACTGCTGCTGGCACATTGGTTGTCGGAACTGCTGCTGGCACATTGGCTTTCGGAACTGCTGCTGGCACATTGGCTTTCGGAACTGCTGTTGGCACATTGGCTTTCGGAACTGCTGCTGGCACATTGGCTTTCGGAACTGCTGTTGGCACATTGGCTTTCGGAACTGCTGCTCGCACATTGGCTTTCGGAACTGCTGTTGGCACATTGGCTTTCGGAACTGCTGCTGGCACATTGGCTTTCGGAACTGCTGTTGGCACATTGGCTTTGCTGCTAGGGCTTCCATCCGACGAGAGGCTTCCTGACGCCGAACTTGAGCTCGAGGACTCCACTGCAAGAGGCTTTGGAGCTCCAGCAATGGACTCGGCTGCCGCTCGACCAGCTGCCTTTGCCAATTCTTCCAAGGAGGCAGTGTCCGGGAAGAGCGGGACTCGGCCTGTATACAACGGCCTCTTCCTCTTGATCTTGTTGTCATAGTCCCAGGGTAATCCCTTAGCTGCGATGACTGCATCACCGTCCCATTGTGACTCTTCTGGCATTCTTCGCACCGACCGGCTTTCACATGCACCATCCTGGGTCAAAATCACATGGCAACCATTTCGCTCATTCAATCCAACCCAGATGCCCTTTCTCCATTGAAGGTCTCCCTTGAACTTTGTCGCCTTGTAGAAGATGCAGCTCTCCCCAAAGATGAGGAGCTGGCCACGAAATCGTCTCCCAAACATTGTCTCGTAGGCAGGGGTGGCTCGAGTGCCACAGAAGAACCGGTTGTGGAGAAAGGAGGCATGGCGAAGAAGCCAAGCGAACATGGGGAGATGCCCTTCAATCTTTCGCTGAATTCTCTCCTCCAAGTGGGCTTTCAAGGTCAGGGCACCTCGCCGAATGGTGCTCACGGCCTTTTCAGCTCTTCCATTCGACGCATGTGAGCCTCTGGGGGCCCACGGGACGCGGGTACGAAGGCCCAGCTTTCCTCTGCATGCAACCACACTGTTGAGTACCTGCTTCACGGCCGGCTCGGGGTCGCCCTGGATGACAACTTCATCACCACCTCCAGCTTGCATGCTCAGCCTCGTGAGGGCCTCAGTGACCTTCTTCAGCGACCCAGCTCCCTTTGCTAGGACTGGGAGTGCAAGGATCCATCCCGTTGTCGACTCAGCCGCCACCAAGTTCAGGCCATACTGGTCCCTGTAATCGGTCTTGCTCTCCTCCTCCTTGCTGCCTGGATCCTCCACTGCTGCTTGCGGCT